TTCAATTGTAACATGCATTGTGGCGGCAACGTTATTGTATAATGACAACTATTCTCTCTTCCCCTTTAGTATAAGTCCCCTGTTTTTTTTCGCAACTGCATATAATGTGATATCCCCATCATGTGATTAGTGACATATGAATATACACATATATAGAAATTTTAAATGTACATATTTCAATATAATGGCTGTATTTCTTATTTGTCATCAACGCAGGGATCAGACACAAGAGATCCGTCAATAAATTTCTCTATTATATATATGTTAGCAACAACGTCTATATTATTATCGTCAAGCCGAAGAATGCTAAAGATCAAAATAGGCGTTCATTATTTGTATATTTTCATACTACACAGGTTAGATACTATACACCCTAACAGAATCTAACAGAGTGTGAAATAGGAACATCATATTTTTGGTTAACAACACAAATTAAAATTGCACATGGCCTCATCTTTTGTGGAACATATAGACTTCTTGTTCGTCAAAATTTCGAAATCGTTTCCAGAACATCATATAATTTATTGTATTGTCTATAAGAATTTTTTAAAATTAACAACTACACCTATATTTGAAAGACAAATATAGAAAAATTTTTATTAAATATTTTATAAAAACCTACGCGAAAAACGCTGTATTTTCTAAAAAAATAAGTTTCTAAAAACTTATTTACCAGCATAGTTAAAAAAAAATATTTTGCACTAAAATCGATACACAATTTATTTATGAACCTTTTATGTATGTACATTATGTTTAACTTTCGCAATCCAACGGTATTGGCCCCAGAATAGCGGTGACTCCTGATTATTTTATGAAATAGAGTACAATCGTGGTGGTAGACCCTCTATACGTTTCTTACTGCCGCCCGTACACGGGCACAGAAGTAGTATTATTTGATCCGCTTAGTGCATTGGGAACGATACACTCCTCTTCCATCTCGTACGCGCACTTTAACCAGTCCTTTCACAAACCTTTTTATACTCCTTTAAGAACCCTCAACAAAATGAAAAATAAAGCTGAACGTAGGGGAAAACGCATCATTAGCAATGAACTACTTCTACTACAACTGGTAGACAGCATTCAAAAACAAGGTAGAATTGCTGAGATAAAAACACGTTCAAGAGAAAAATAATTTTTAAATACAAATGTATGGCTAAAAAATACAGGTAATAAATTTACACTAAAATAATTGTTTCTATAGTTTTTAATGTTTAACTCCTTTCTTAGTGTCCAAATGAAAAAAAAAAAAATAAACATATAGATTATTTCATCTGGCCTAACACTAATACTACACTNAATAAACATATAGATTATTTCATCTGGCCTAACACTAATACTACACTTAAATGTATGAAGAATGAAAATACATTTAACACAGAGTAACTAAATAAAATTAAGTCAGATAAGGAATATATTGACAATTATGATAGAATAAGTTAATCATGTCACCAAAGAAAAGCAAAAACAATATCCACAAAACGTCTACGGTCGGAGTCCAAACACACGAAGCTTCGCTAACAGAATTAACGAGACCCAAAAAAAGCAAAGAGTCAACGTTAGTGAATAATAACAAAAATAACAGCCAAAAAGATTTAAATCTAGAAAAGAGCAAGACTGAAGTATCAAATAGTTCGGCAAAAGAAGTTGGACAAAAAGAGACCGAAAACGATCCAACAGTTAAAAAAGAAGACTCGGAAAAGAATATAGAGAACACGTCGAATCATAACAGCGGTAACGCCGAAAGTGACAAGAGTAACAACAAAACCACTAATGCTGATCCGTCAAATCAACAAGCCAATCCGTCGACGTCCCCCAACGAAGATAATTCACAAATGAAAGTCCTGCGTCACGATAGCGGAGGATTAGACCTCAAAGGTTTAATAAATTATCACAGACAGTGTAACCTGTTGAGAAATAATATTCGTGAGCTAAAAGAAATTTATGAGCAAAAAAAAAAACAGGGTTGTGAGTACGACGATGAAGAGGCAGCCAAAATAGAAGTTGGGTTGTGCAGGTTAGAGAAAACTGTGAAGAAAATGATCGATTGCGTTGAAAAGTTGGATGGCAGTAGCAATGTATTGAGATCTATGTTGGATGAATACGACAAGTGTGATGCTCAGTATAAAGAATTAAGAGCTCTGACTAAAAATGCTCAGCCGAAGAATGAACAGTATTTACCAGAGTGTGACAATCAAGAAGAACAAGAACGTTGGACATTCAAAAAGTTTTTACAGAAAAACCTCTGTCGTCCATGTTACAAAATACTTATGAGCAGAAAATGCTCAATAAGAAATAGTTAATTTCGAGGTTCTTTATAATTAATTTTACATACTTGCATGGCATGTTCAAAATTAAACCTAATATAATAAAACAATTGTTACACACGAAATTATTTAAAGCACTTTTTTAGAAAATATTGATAAACAAATATTTGAAAATCATATGTACATATTTTTAATGAAAATGTATATATGTTTTTATAAATATCTGTACATGCAATACCAAAAAAAAAAAAAAAAATACTACTAATACTATTTTAATGCATACAAATTAAAAAAAAAATATGTTTAAAATACAAACATTTTATCAGTTAAGAATATATTTTTCAAATTTAATTAAACTTTAACTAAGGGGTACTACAAGAATTGTTGAAAAAATAAAATTTTTGTTCATATACATTATGACAAAAAAAAATGTGCGAAATTTTTTTTTCAATATTTAAATACACTGTGCAATAGCCATAATTTGACATTATAAATTTAACGATAAAACCGCAATGCTAACATCAGAGAATACAGGACGTAAATCTAGAAAAAAGATAAAATAGAAGAACATAGAATTTGCAAAATGGTAGGCGTGACTCGGGAGCCCGGAGAAAAGCCTACTGATATTAGCCGGCCACGCCTCTTATACACTCTACCTAGGTAGCTTGTTTCAGTATCGATTAGTTGCGGAACGCCGGTCACCCAGCGCCGTAATAAGCGTACAGTACGCTACACTGAGTTATTCATTGAATATACCAACTTGTGTTGTGCACACTCCTTTACAGGAGATGGGACATCGTATAAATTATTAACGCGAAACTAATACCGTTGGCATTTAAAAAAACAGGTGTATTTCTTTCACACCAACAGTCACCAAAAAGATGCCATTAAAAAAAATATAAGACATCATAACTAATCATTAGTAGTGGTGTTATTAAGACAATGACATAGTTTTATTCATAAATAGTACTGTGTGTGGTTAATTTTATTAGTAATTATGTTTATATTGAACACTTAATAGATTTTTAGTCAGGCCTAGATGTATACTTATTGAAGTCTCGGGAGTTAAAATTTAAATGAATCTAATATTAATATTTATTTTTGGGAAATGAGCTTTTTTTTATTTATTTTTAACAGTTGAAATCGTGTCCTTTAAAATTTTAGATCTAGAATTCTTTCCCCTAGATAATTTTGATTTACCCACATACATGAAAATTAAGTAAAAAATATTATAAATGAGAAAAAATTGCAACACCAATAATAATCGATAATAGACATCTTAACATTTTTAAGTTAAATTATTCCATACGCAAGAAAAAAATATTACATCTATTATATCTATTTATTTCATTATAAGTATTTTATTTTACTCGATAAATAGTTTAGAACTGTGGGGTTTTTTCATGACCGAACACAGGTGAGAATAATTGCGATATTAAAATACGTAAATAAGTTTAACTCGATTCATCTAAAATGGTTGTGAAAGCTAATAGTGTACACATTTTAGATTTTCTTCGCTAATTCTAGTAAGGTTAAAAGGATAAATACCATAAAAAATACTTATCTATTTTACATAAAATAGAATATAATAATAGAAATACATAAAATTGACTACAACACAATTTACTTTTAGAAAAATATAAAACTATTGATAATATGATCAATAAAAAAATCACTTCAATGAGTCTATAAATGCAACAATCTTAAAATGACAACTAGAGAAAAATACAAATCAATAGCATTATTAAGCTTAGTAAATATATATCCTCAATCTGTATAACTCTGGGTTTTAAAAGACACTGAAACCAAGTAATTCAGTACTAAAATTAAGTTAGTATATCTATTTTTATATAATTAAACAAATAAAATAATAATTTAAAGCATGGACATATTGCACGAGTTTTCTAGGATTCAGGATTGTCAATTATGCATTAACAAATATATATGCCTCAGTGAAATAATTTTTGTTGTTTATAAAAAAAAAAGAAAAATGTATTTTGGCACTTAACTATTATTTTACTTCCAAGGTACAGTTGACGATCTACCAATTTCGGAGTTTTTTTAATATAAAACAAAATGCCAATAAGACATTAATAATGACCCCATAACAAATAGGTAACAAAAATAATATTGTAAAAATTATTTAATTACATTTTGAAAAATGTTAACCCGGATTTATTGAAATGGATTATTCGTTAGTTTATCGATAATCAAGTTGTAATTACTATAAAATATCTAAAATAAGTATATTTTTTTATTTTTAAGTAAATTGAGTAATTTCAAAAAATTTTCATCTTAAGAATTATCTTAACAGAATAATTGTAGTTATATAAAATATTTTCTTAGTATGTCGAAATCATTCAAGTCATGCTGAATATGCAGAGTGTTCAAAAAGTTAATAAACCGGTTCAACTGTTACAAATAATGAGAACAATAGAACCCCATTTTCTTACTTACTGAACACTCTGTATATAACCGTGTAATACTGTTGACGTTATTGAATTCAATTACACTAGCGCTATCTTTCTTTAAAATAAATTAAACATCTTATTTTGAACTAATTTAAAAGTATTTTTAATGACATTTTATTTATAACCAAGATTATTTTTAAATTACTTATATTGGCTAAGCTACTAAAAAATATATATATTAATTGTTGATTATTTCCAAGGATTTCAGTATTTTTTTCATTTCAATAAATTCACAATAGGTCAATCCGAAAAATATATAAATTAAATATAATACATATATCATTTTAATAATTAATTAGATGGACTCGGTGAGTATATATTATAAAGGAGTGATATATCACATTAATGTTATTATATTATATAATAAACTTGGTATAATATCACGTTAATTTAAATGATCTATTTTCAATTTATTCTTTTATTACTCATATTTTTTTATAAAACTGTATTTTCTAAACAATTCTCGGTAATTTTTCAGGGAAAAAAATTAGAAGGGTGTAGTTGTAGTTCTAAATCAGCAAACAAGAGTAATCAATCAAAATGCGAACAACCACAAAAGTCATCATATTCGACACAACAAACCCCTTGTAGCCCGTGTCCGTGTCCCGCAGAAGAATGTAAAGTCACTCTTAAGACCGTGCGTGCTTTAGTCGAGGCCGAAAATAAAGACGTAGAATTGTCAGAGCTGTTAAGTGGTATAACTATTCTAGACGAGCATAGACCAAAAAAGAAAATCTTAAATATGTATGACGCAAATTCGAAAATTAATAGAGTCGAAATGGTAAGCATCATTTTTATAAACCAATTCAATCATGAACTATTCTAATATACTAACAATAATTATAAATGAATAATTTGAAACAATGGGCAGTATTAAAGTTCATTGCACTAATATTGTTTTAAAGGAACATAATGTAGATCCGGAATATATAGCATTTATTATGAAGAATATTGAAGATGGATATAACTTGAAAACGGACCCAATTGAAATGTATGAACACTTATTTTCAAAAGGTAATGAAGAAGCACCTCTAGTGGCACTTGGTCCTACCGCTGACTTATCAAATGAAGTAAGAAAAATATTTATAACTATTTTTTGAATAATAATAATAATAATATCTTCTATTAAATTAAATTAAAAATTAACAAGATATATATATATATATATATATGATACATTTTTAACAGGATCTTGTAGTGCCACTTTCACCTCCAGCAGTTGTAAATGCTAAAGACCCAGATTACGAAAAAGGTTCACGAATTGGAAGAATCATACAAAGTTTAAATGTCACCGTGGCTGAGGCTACTAATATTGATAACGTTGACGATCTACAAGTACTCATAGGTGGAGGAACACATGAAGAAAACATAGCAGATAGTACTCATAACGAATACGATGGTGGAACCCGTGATTTAAAGTTGGAGACTAGAGCACCAATACAATCAGCTGCCGTTTTACGCGGCTCTACGCCTCCTACCTGGTTTCCAGGCTATAATGTAGCGCTTCCTAACACAGCTCATCCTGCACTAGTAAATGATCCAGCAACTGTATTAGACGAAGCTTGGTTCCACAGTCAACCTTTGGCTTTAAATTTAGACACTAAGGGAGCTAAACTAATAGGATCCTAATTTTTTTTAATAGTGTTACATAACACACGATTAAATATGATGCTCTAAACTTCAAATACCATTTTGTTTCTTGTTCCTAAAATATTTTGTTTTATTTTATTATTTCATTCAATAGTAAATTATTTATAAATAGAAATTACGCTCTCATAAAATATATTTTAAACATTTTTAACTGACAAAAATTAATTTAGTTAAATGAGTAGAAAAATTTAACAAGAATTAATTATTAGATAACACATAAAAGAACGCATATTTAAGTAAAATCACCTTAAAAATTAAAAATGTACAGTCATGCGAAATCATTACATGATTATAAATATACATATATTTTTTAAAATTGACTGGAACGTACGACGAAAATATTAGTATAAAATGTTATTTTTACAAAAAATTCGTTACAATGTTTATTATATTATTTATTATATTTACAAACTTAGTTCAGTAACATTATATTTTGACTGAGTTCATATTTAAAATTACCTATATCTATTTATTATCTTATCAAAATCGTGATTAACATTTAATAAAATTTAAAAAATGTTTAATCAGATGTTCTTTTCCTAATAAATAGAGAACGTTTTAAACTGGGATATATTATTACAGAGCAAGTGATGGTTCAAAAAAGTATTATTCGACCGAGATCTTTATCGGTTTAGAATCGGTTTGATCTTGGTGTGTGGCACAGAATTATTTGAAAAGGATACTAAGATGTACAGCTACTACGTTACACTTGTATGAATATGTACAAAAGAGTAACATGACAATGGCAATTTTACACACAATACAAAAAATATTTCGTAAATTTTACAATATCAGTACTGTAAAAAGAATACTTTTGACTAAAAATTTGCAAAGCAAACCAACTAGAAAACTCATTATATTTTTTATTCAGAAAGATAAAAATATAAAATACAAAACATTATTTTTTAACAATAAAATTGAACATTGATCATTAGTCGATCCATTAGGTACCTAATAGTCTATTAATAACAAAATAATATTTTTTTTACCATTTAACTAAAATCAATTCATTATGATTGGTCATCTGAGATCAATAAGTAATTCTCATTTAAAAAATTCGAAAATCCCTATTGTGGTTCATGTGGGTTAATAGTGCACATTTTGATAAGTAATTGTTTAAAATCAAATAATTAAAATAGATTTACTAGTAAAAATGGCTAAAATATCTGGATTCCCATTAATTATATTTAATAAAAATAATGAGAAAGTGACAGAAAAAAATTTAATAATTAATAATAATATACATTATGTATGCCATATGGGTATATTTTCTTTAAATTTTATAAAAATACAATGTTACTATTAAATTTTGGATAAGTAAATATGAATACAGTATGATAATATCATATTTTTTCTCCTTGCTCCACTCTTTTACATGTAGTTCATACTTCTCATTATCAAAAAGTGTATTAATCGTCTATTATCAGCTGAAATTTATTTAAAAATTACATAAAATATTTTTTTGTAACCTTATGTATAAAAATGCACTATTTTTATAATATGACGTAGTCCAATATAGGCGTTGAAATATATGACAGAATATCTCTTCCAACATTGCCTGTTATACATTTCCCAAGAAGCTACTGGCTGACACAATGACACGTCCTTGCGCCTGCTGTATCAGCATCTAACATCATATCTTAAAACTCGTTATGAAATAAAAAATATTTAAGAGAGATAGAAGTTTACGAGGGCACTTCTTAGAAATCTACATCAGTGACAACCAATGTATATGTCAGAAATCACTTCGTTAACCGATCAGGTAATAGTTTTAAAACGAAAGCCATGTACAAAATCAATTCAACATAATAAAACAGTAACAAAATACACCTAATAAATTTTTTATAATAGTTTAAAAATGCAATTAACTTTCATAATATATAAAACTACAATGAAACATATTAAAACTAAAGTTGTTAAATATATCTCATTTGGGTTTAAAACTAATTGAAAATTTGTACTTAGACCATTTTTTAATTATTTAAAAACAGTAATATTACAAATGGGTATTAATGAAGTATAAGAGGTTTAATTTTACTACTTAATTATTGATCTTACACTGTATAGATTCAATACTTAAATAAAAGATGCATAAAAATGTATATGTAAAAATATGTTACTGCAGTATTCTTTTTCAGTGTAGTAAAACATAATAAACTATGCAATAATGGCCAAGGGCTCAATGGAATGAATTACACTTTTAAAAAATTTTCAAAACTTTAATTAAAATTTTGAAATACCATAAAATTCCTCATCAAATAATTATCATTAACTTACAATAAAATAAGACGAGAGAAAATAGACTTAGATGGTTTGGTCATATTATGAGGAGAGAAGAATCGGAAACTGTAAGAATAGTTATAGAAATGAATGTTGAATGAAGAAGAGGTAGAGGAAGACCAAAATAGAGTTTGAGAAAATAGCTATTGAATGCGATATGAGGATAGCTGATGTGAGCGTAGAGAATATGGGAGATCGTGTCAAGTGGAAGTTTAGTATAAGGGTGGACGACACCAAGTAGTTGGGATTAAGGCGAGGAAGAAGAATAAGAAAAACTTACAATAAAATTATTATTTTTTTACATTTATTTGATACCCCTACTCATTCTCGTCAAAAAGGGTTACATACCTTTTTTATACGCTAGATGAATCAATATACTTCAGAAACTTTTCATATACCAAATATTAGTATTTAGCATATGAAAATTGTAATCATAAAATAATTCTATATTAATATACTTTTATAACTATAGTCTGTTAAATATAAGAAATTTATTACATATAAAAAATACACGAAGAGTTCAATGAAGAAGCTAAAATATTTCAAAAATAGTAATGTACCTCATGATAAATAATACGGTTTCTTTATTTGTTATGGCAATATGATAAAATTATATCTCTAATGGTTAAAAGAAACTTTACAAATTATATAAAAAATCTTAGAACAATAGGGTTGGAAACCCCAAAATTTTTCTTTAATAGTTAGAAAAATAATAATGGTCAAAATTTTAGTGATATCAAGATGTAAATGTGTTATGGTCTACTGAAAAACTAGCATTTATTTCCCCCAAAACAGTCTAAATATTTTGTATAATTATTATTACGTTACAATAACTGTATACCATTATTGGAACGTGTTAAATTCTCTTTGTTATATATTACTAGTAAGCGATAATAATAATAATGGTCACCGACCAATGTAATCTTAATAATGTTCTATCTACATAAGCGCGCGGACAATTCGCCGTCTTACAATTAAAAATTATAATAAAACACGATACAGTCCACAATTTAATAATAGCATTTACGATTTATTTGTTTTATTTATTAAACCAGTTCGAAACATTCTTTTACTATAATATTTAAGAAGACAAAGGCCAAGGAAGACAGATCTACTTATCGTATGCTGTTATAACAGCTAATGATTAAACCCCTATACTAATAAATTAGTACTTAAATATTATTAAAAAAATATTACTTAAATAATAAACAATACTGTAAAAAGCAACGTGACCCAGTAATTATAATAATATAATTTCGTTTCATCTACGTTATCATTTATAATGTTAAAATGCTCTTGTGTATTCGAAGTAGAAAAAAATATCTACTAATGTATCAAAAAGGAAAACAAAAAAAAGCGGCTTACTCAACTCAATTGGTAACACGTCGTAACAAAGCATATAGATACTAGAGTTCGATTTTGTTACGATGTGATCATGTAGGTTTATTCATTCTGTATAACACAACCATAGTTTTTAAGAGTTAAGTTTATAGGAAATAGAGTAGACAGGAGTAAAAGTCCATATAGAGTAAGAGTCCAATATTGAAATGATTAAATTAATTTTGTAGTTATGAACAAATGATTAATAAGTATCAAATCTTGGACTATTTTTAGACGATACAAAATCACAGAAATAAAATTGAGAACATATAAATAAAAAAGTTTGTCATACTTTTATGTTATAATTCATTCTTTAAGACTACAATTCTAAATTAAAAAAATTATTTTATAAGACTTCAATTTGTTTTTCGTTAGATATAAAATATTTTTTTAATAATTAATTTATTAATTAATATTAGTAATAACATAATTTTATTTTCGTACCTATTTTTTTCAAAACTAAATATACTTCACCAAAAAACTCGTAATTTACCACTAATAATACAGGTCTCTGACTTATTAAAATGATCAAGGCCAAGGTACATTATAGTAATTTTTCCCATATAGCTATTTTGAATTCAGATACATGGAATTCCTAAATATAATAGACAAAATGTTCTAAATCGTAAAACTGTTGCCTTTTTTTTCTTCATGACATATTTTGATAAGAAGTGGCTAAAAAAATTGTGCTCGCCTTCTAACATATACATTCGATTTATATAAATTTAAAAAATCTTATTACTAAACATTTTTACTATTAAAAAAAATTATACATTTTAATAAGTTTTCCCTTATGTAACACAATTATGTTAATAATGTATCTCCAGAGTTGTGTTCTAAGATCGTTGTCGTTGCTCAAAACTCGTTTGACATTTCATTATTGTCGGTTACGCGCAACCGGTTCTAACGAGATACAAAAACTACTAATTTCTTTGCTAGCTACTGGGTACTGTTGCTGCTAAGTGGTTATTTAACACGATAATGTAGTTTTTTACACGCACATACAATAAGCGTACAATGCAGATAGCATCATATGACTATAATAAAAACATCGATTTGTTTTCGAGAAAACTCACAAGGACACCTCCTACTTCTGATGAGCCGCTAGGTACGTATTTTTTTCGTCTGAACGGGTAGTATATTTGAGTACATTTTCCCAGAACTCATCATTTTATAACATTAAAATACCTTCACCACGTCCCTTGAATAACAAATATAGTCTTGAATAGCGATTTGATCAAATTTATTATCTCACTCAATCAATTTTCGAATTATTATACATTCCTACTCATGTTTGATAATACAAGGTAATGAATACTTAAACAATATTTTATTAAACACGATTTTTATGATTATTATTATTACAATGACATCCAAGATGAACAAACGAGTACAACATAAATAATAAATAATAAATACTAAATATATAATATCATTCGAAAACCAATTATAACTAACTATTATATGTAATAATAGTATAAATATAATCAATTTAATTTTAAACAAACTTTTAATTTAGTTTATTTTACTAGATTAAAAGTAGGAAAAAAAATAAATTTTTGTTAAAAATTCTAAACTCATTACTTTTTAAATAAACGATTTACCGGAGCATAATACTAATTTTAACAATAAAAAATAATATAAAATATTAAAATAAATCTTAATGAAAAAAATGACAATAATTCAAAATAATCATTATACTATTTATCAGTTTGTAAATTTCATAAAATTTTAGCGGCATACCAGCGAACATTTTTGTTTGAAGGAATAATGCACAGGTCAACTTTTTTGGTTTATAAGTTAGTATTCTTAAAAATCATACTCATAAGCTACCAAATTATTAAATCATACTCCCATATTAATGGTACTAAAAATAAAAATATAATGCCGTGGGTTTTAACATGATTATATTTTCACCAGAAATATTATGATAAATATTATTAGTAAACCTTCGAGAGTAAGTGATCTAAGTACATTTTTTTGAGTTAATTCATGAATATATTTGTCCACACCAACGAGTTGTTGTGAACTGTTAATTATTCTAAAAACAACACCAACCAGGGCATAAAAACGTTATGATTATAACATTTATAAAAAATATTTTATTAAAATCTAATTAAAAAACCAAAAATATGTGATAAATGTAAAATATCATTAAACATAAAACAACTTATAAAGAAATATAGATCTTAATAAAAAAAAATTATTTTCAAATATTAAAGGAACTTCTTTTTTAATGTTAAACATAAAAATTTAATAACTTTAAAACGTTGAAAAAAAAAAATTGAAAAAAATTTTCATATCGAAAACGGTTTACGTGAAAATTATAAAGTATCTAAATTATAAATATTATATATTATTATGAATAATGATAAGATTATTTATAAAATAATGTTGTAATTAATTTAAACATGAGACGAAACAATTTTTTTAATCCGACCCCTGTCATCTATTCCTGTTTCCTTTATTATACTTTGATTAAAGTTTTATAATTTATAATTATAATACATGATTAAATACTTATTATAGTAATTAATTTAGTATGCAATTAATATTCAATATTTTAATATTGTAATTTTTATAGATAAAATTAAAAAACTTATAAAATAATTGCATATTTTGTTACTTCTATAGCAAATATGAATTACAATTTTAATACTGATATTATAAAATAGAAAATATGGATTATCAAACTCTCGTTATTTAAGTATAATTTCAATTATAAAATTGATATTGATATTGTAATTTATTATAAGCCATTAATAGCTACAATTTTTTTATTATACTTATTGAATTAATATTAGAAACTCTAAAAATTATTTCTAAAAATAATTTTAACTAACTCTTAAATCGTATTTATTATTATTATTACTTTTTTTTTGTAGGTTAGTTTGAAATAGTTGTTTATTTATACTACTTTCAATACGTATGTTTGAAGTTTTAATCTTCCTATGAACAGATAAAGGGTGAGACTATAATATATACATATATAAAAAATATATACATATAAAAAAAAAGATTTTGATTAACTTATTTTTTTAAAACTAAGGTATTTTTAAGTAAAAAATATATTTAAAAATATCGAAATTTACAAATTTTAAAAATAGTAATTTTCAGTGAGCTTTCCCCATTTATGGTAATAATATTAATTTTATATGGTAATATATTCAACTAGATACAATATATAATATTTTTGTATCATTCAGTAAAAACTACTAAATTTTAAACAAGACAAAAAGAGCAATTTAAGTTAATGATAACTTTTTATGCCACTTTTCTTACTTACTAATCTCTGAAATTTGCAAGAAATTAAAAATAAGTGTAACTTTATGTTTAATTTAAATTTAGTTCATGTAACTTTTACGAAAATTGGTGTCGCATCTTTCTTGTACGATTTTCAATTGTTTGTACTAAAATTTATAAAAAATTCTGAATTTTGTGGTTTTTACACAAAAATAGTGTTTTTGAATACAGTGATTATTTATTGTACGACGACCAATCCAGAGATGAAATTTTTTTTTTCAAATTAAAACATATTATATATATATATACATATATATATATATATATATAATGGTGTCAGTATTTCCTGAATATTTTCAAAAGTTAAGTTGTAAATGTTAAATTTTCATGCAAAAGTTGCTATTTTGTATCTCCCTGGGGCAGATAAAGGGTCAAGCTACAAAAAAAATATATCAAATGATAGAGAAATACCTTAGATAGCTATAAAAAATATTTGCTTTAATTCATTCTTTTTTTTTTCAAAAGTTCTGATAGTATTCAGTAAAAAAAAAAGTCTTAAAAACATAAAAAATTTAATTAATTTTAAAAATTGTATTTTTTGGGGGGAATTTCTCTCATTTTGGAGAATAAGGGAAAATTTTCAATTTCAAGTATTCGATTAGATACGATTTTTCATCAAAATCGATCCAGTAAATGTTGGAATAAGGGGTAAAAATATAATAAAAAACACATTATAGTAATATTAATACTTTCTCAGATTCAATTTGAAGAAGAAAAAATTGAGTCCTAAATGACATGAGCTTAATTAATTTTCATTCACTTAAAACGAACTTTGAACTATTGAACTAGTTTATTCTAAAGTCTAATATTAAGTATAATTATATTTTAAATTAAAACTTTAAAAAATTAATTAAAATAAATTTCATATGATTAGACAAAAACAATCGATATCGAATAGTTTAATTTATCATTATATCATCTCATATAACTATACAAATTACATGACTACGCTAAGGTAACGATAGTATTTTTTAAATGCAATTAAAATATACAAGTATTTAATAAAACTATTAAAAATTAAAAAAGATATCACGTTATTTTAATTTTGTAATCCATCTAACTTTAATCATTTCATTCATGATGTTTGTCTTTCGGTAGATCTTTTATTGATCACTATAATTCATTTAAAAAGTAAGTGTGACATATAGCATTAACATTTTATAACCCAAGTATTAGGTAGGAGGTATATATCAGGGACCTGTAGCAAACATAAAATGACAAAATGACAATGTGCCGGAATCTAACAACAAATAAACCAGACGTAGTATCAATGTCTAAATAGTCTGAGTAACTATTTTAGCTGTTTTAACATTAAAATTAACTTTTTCTATAGATAAATTTCAGTGAAAAAAATTACATCAATTGTTTTAGATCAGAAACCAATTCCTTACAGATTACAGATAACACAAAATTCTTTCCGGTAACATAAAATATACATTTATATGTTTTTAAGAATTATAGTAAAGTTAATAGGTAAACAAAAAAAAAATCAAGTGGCATATTACTGCAAAATCTGGCCATTAAAGACATTCGTAGTAATAACTATATTTATTGTATTGAAATTAAAAATAGCAACCAGTTATAAAAACTTATAACTATAGACATTCTAAAAATTAACTTTAGGTAGTGTAATAATACTGAACAAATAATGTTTTCAGGCTGTGTAAGTATTTTTTCAATAATATGTCATTATTTACGCCTTTATAAATGTATTTTATGTAACATTTTCTAAGGAGAATTGTTTTGTAACTATTAATTTTTAGTACATTATAAATCTTGAAATTTCGGTTTTAGAATAACGACAATGGTATTGGAGAAACTACAAACGACTTAAAATATAAAATAAGACAGTTAGAAACACAATTATCAGTTCTAGATGAAGTGAAGACAGAAAAAAACGAATTGCATAAACGGTTAATTGATACATCAGTATGGATAGAAGAAATGGTAAAAAAACAAAAAAAATTTTTTGAGCAGTTGAATACAGGGCATCACGAATTATGGTGCAAATATCAAAATGTAAAAAAAGACTTGGAAAAAAGTAAACATAAAATAGAAAGTGCTAATAGTGAACTAATAGAATGTAACAATGAATGTGATAAATTGAAACACCAGATAAAAACATTTGAGGATCAAAATAAATATTTAGAAGAACAAAAACAAATTTTGGAAAAACGACTATGTCAAGATGAAAAAAATATCAATGAACTTAGAAGTGAAAATGAAAATCTTAAGGTATGCGTGGAAAGAAAATTAGAGGAAATCCGCCATCACAAAGAAACAGTAGAAGAACAGTCCGACCAGCTTAGAAATATACAATCCGAATTGAGGACTATGAAGTGCAAATTAGAACTAAAACGAGAAAATTACGAGCAGTTGAAAAGCCAAGCGGAAATAAATGAAACAAAAATGAAAAAAGAAAAAGAAACCTATGAAGAACAAGCAGAAATTTTTGAAAAAGAAAAAAATAAATATGAACACCTTGTGCATGAACAGAAACGTCAGATTCAAGAGTTAAATTCTAAATTACAGGACTCAAAAAGACGAGAGCAAGAAATAAAAAGTTTGATGGAAAAAGAAAGAAGTCAATCAGATGAACAAATTGAAAAACTCAAAAGAGACAAACATTGTTTGGAGGCAGAAGGCGAAACGTTAAAAAATAAAATAGACACTACCAATAAACAATTAACTAAGTTAAGATGTGAAAACGAAATGCTGGACTCCAAAATAAAAAAATTACAAAATAAATTTGAGGACACCATAAAAAGTTGCGAAGAACAGAAAAGACTATTCATAGACGAAATGCAAACGGCCAATGCAGAAAAAAATAAGTTACAAATAAACTTAGACAACGTAACCCGTAAAGTCGAACAACTAACAGAAGAGCTGGGTAATGTGAAAAAATTACATAAAGCTGAATTAGAAAATGTTAGCGAGTTAAGGAGAACAATCGCTGATATTCAATTCAGTCAAAAACTTATGCCTGAATCAACAAACGTGTGTTCCGACAAAAATATTGGTCTTCAGTTAGCTAATATAAGTAAAGTATTAGACAACGCTCTGACAGACTGCAATAAAGTTGAAAATATTTCTTATAATAATGACAACACACGAAATTTGGAAGAGATAGTTAAAGAGATAAACACAATAAGCAATTCCCTAATACGATCTCCTCCGTGTAATTAAAATAACTTGTTCTATCTTTAAATTTTAATTGAATTTTAGAAAAAATAATTAATATATTTTTAACATCAAAATTAACAATAAATAAACACAAAACTACCATTGTGACAACATTTAAGGAAATAATGATGGGCCTACATAGATACAATATTAAATTAATTATAATTTTTAAATCATTATTTTACAATTTAACAGCAATGCTATTTAATCTGACATGCAGATAAATAGCTGTTCATAAAATTAATTAATTGTAACCATGTCTATTTATTCTTTCTGTGTGAGACTTTAAAAGGTTTATCCATGTAGTAATATCCACATCCACATAATGTTGTAATGAAAATTGGAAACGGTTCGGTAGTTCTTTAAAATATTTTACGAGCCTTCTTCCCTTGACGATCTCTATCGATTCTATTCGCTTTAAATAGTGAAACAGAAGTGATAACCTAAATTTTTGACACAAAATGTATCCATCAAACCGTGTAATGGCTTCTTTGCACTCTCCCTAGGGTATGACACTATAGTGACAGTTTTTCAATCTACGTTTATTGAACCCAATAGTAACGTGGTTTCTATTCTCTCTGGTTGTATGAATCTTTCCGCTTGCGTTCTTTCATTTTCTTTTTTTTTGCAATACCACTGAAGCCATTATTACTCGCCACCGAACTAAGGTCTGTTAGAGTCTCTACACATATTAACAATTATTTTGTTATTTGATGAAAGGTGGTTCCATTCTGTCTGTTGAATATAATATAATGTCCTTTTCATACAAACGTACATTCTTATCTGCTTTTTTCTGTTTCTTTCTACCAGGCTTGTTTACAACACAGTCAAGAGACCATTGTTAAGTCTGTTATATTGTACTATATTTTTAAAAATTATCAATACATAAATAGAATAGTATGTAGAAATCATATCTGCAATATTGTGAGGGTGGTATTAAAATATTCAAATGAAAATAGTGAATTTTGTCTTCAATGAGTTGTTCAACTATAGTACAATATATATTATCATTTCATAACCCCAAACAAAATTAATTATATTTAACGGTTCGATGACATTATTCATTTTATTATTAGCATTATATATAGAGTAATTTTGTTATCATAAACCACCCAATTACTAACAGAATTAAAATAATTTAGAAATATTTTCTTTTGATTACCTTTAGTTATATATTAATCTTGAATTATTAGCTATGTAACTTTTTAAGTTCATCTCTTATGCCTATAACCCAACCTTTGTTTTTTTTAAATGGGAATAAGTATTTTAAGTTTTATAAACTGGTCAAAAGACTTACTAAATGTAATCTAACCCAATTTAAAATTTTTCATATACAGGTGGCTCTAAAGTGAGCTTCCTCCTCACCGCCATGTCATTATCTCTTTTGATTCTTGTCGCATATTTACTTATTGTACATACAGCTATATAGATTGTAAATTTTTTAATAAACGTTTTTAATAAAAAAATAAATAAATAAAAAATAATTGAGGTTTTATTTCTATAATAAATGACATTTAAAGTTTTAAAATAACTATAGTTTCTAATTTTCGAGTTAATATACTTGTATAATACACGAAAGATTACAAATACAGGTAGCTAATTGTTTTTTTATGACGTCACTATGCAACATTTATTTTCAATTGTAACTTCATCGACAGATATGCTTAAAATATGGTAGCAAGGCACATTGTTGTAAGTTTATAAATACACTAACTGGCAATATATGAAACTTATTTATTGATTAAGTTATACTTGACAATAAACACTGCGTATCTGTGAATAGTGAAGTCAAAAAAGCAATTAGCTACCTGAATTTATAGCCCCCCATATATTATAAAAGAGCTCTAAAATTTGAAACATTAAAGTTTCATACATAATAAACGAATGAAATTATGTTAAAACTTCGAATGTCATTCACTATAAAAATAAGATCTCGATTATTTTATTAAACTCAAAATATGTATTCCTCCCATTTGAAAAATAAGGTTGGTTTATAGGCATATGACATGAACTTAAAAAGTTTCATAGCTAATAATTCAAGAATAATATATAACTAAAAAATATTTTTAAATTATTTTTTTCTATTAGTAATTTAGTGGTTAATGATAAAAAAATTACTGTATACAGGGTGATTTTTTTATCATAACCCACTCAATTACTTGCAGAATAATAATAATTTAAACATTTATTTTTTTTATTATCTTTAGTTACACATTATTCTTGAATTTTTAACTATGTAATACTTTTTAAGTTCATCCCTTATGCCTTGGAGNTATCTTTAGTTACACATAATTCTTGAATTATTAACTATGTAATACTTTTTAAGTTCATCCCTTATGCCTGGTAAGGGTATCAACTTTGTTTTTTTAAATGGTAACACATATTTTTAATTTAATAAAATGTTTGAGTTTTTAATTTAATAGTAAATGGCATTTGAATTTTTAATATAACTT